GCTGCTGTTGCTGCTACTGCTGCTGATTTATCCAATACAGACATATTATTGTGTTCCTCTGGATCCCCGGCAGCTGTTGCTGCTGTTCCTGCTGCAGTAGGACCACCACCAGGACCAGCAGCAGCAGCAGCAGCAGCAGCAGCAGCAGGAGGACAATCTTGTTGTTGTATATCATCTAATTCAGTAGTTAATTGTGCTAATGTTATGTATAAATCAGTTATTTCTTTCCTTAGATCAGCAGCAAGACAACAAAAACGATTCAATCCTGCTGCTGCTGCTGCAGCAAATCCATCTAATTGTGCTGCTGCTGCATGCAATTGCTGAGATAATAACACTAAATCACCAGATAATCCTCCTCTTCCTCCTCCTCCTCCTGCTGCTGCTGCTGCTGCTGCTGCTGCTGTTGTTGTTGTTGTTGCTGCTGCTGTTGCTGCTGCATCTCCTGATGATGATGATGCAGGTACAATAGCACCAGAAGCAGCAGAAGGAAACGCTGCAGCAGCAGCAGCAGCAGCAGCTGCTGCTGCTGCTGCACCTGCTGCTGCTGCTGCTGCTGCACCCCTTCTTCCTTTGCTGTTATGTGCTGCTGCTTCTCCATCAGCAGCAGCAAAATTCAACAAAGGAGAATTTAATAACTCTAAATGTTTAGACATAATGCCAGCAGCAGCAGCAGCAGGTGCTGCTGCTGCTGCTGCTGCTGCTGTTGCTGTTGCTGCGTCGGGAGCTGCTGCTGCTGCTGCTGCGTCAGCTGCTGTTTCTCCCGAGCAAGATGCTGCTGCATCGGCTGCTGCGTCTGCTGCTAATGACATCTGTGCATGCACTGTAGAAGCTGCTGCACCTGCTGCTGTTGCTGCTGCTGCAGCTAGCGGCGGACACTCAACGCTGCTGCCAACAGCAGCAGCAGCAGCAGCAGCAGCAGCGGGGTTGGTCTGCTGCTCATCTGCATGCAAACTGTTAGAGAATGATGTATATGATTGCTGCAGGGACCCCTCAATATCGTCCTGCTGCTGTTGCTGCTGCTGCTGCTGCTGGTGCTGCTGATGCTGCTGCTGTTCGTGCTGCTGCTGCTGCAGCTGCTGCTGACGGTCTGCTGCAGCGCCGCTCCTCATAACTAAGAAAGCAGCAAAAATAATATATTAAAGAAAATGGGGCCCCCTACACCGAGGCATGGAGGCCCTCCCTGCTGCAGCTGCTGCTGCTGCTGCTGCTGCTGCTGCTGGAGCCTATTTGCATGCAAAAAGGCCTACTAAAAGAAAAAGAAGAATAGCTGCAGGGCTGCTGCTTCTCTTGTTGCTGCCGCTGCTGCTGTTGTTGCTATTCTTCTTGTTGCTGTTGTTGCTGCTGCTGCTGCTTCTGCTGCTGCATGCACACAACTAACCCGCTAGAGATCTGCTGCTGCAGTTACCTTTGGCGGGGATTAGATATATAAATGGTGTGTTGCAGCAGCAGCAGCTGCTGCAGGAGCTGCAGCAGGAACAAGCCTATTAGAGGGGTGTTGCTGCTGCTGTTCCTTTAGCAGCAGCGGGAGTAATAGTATTAGCAGCAGCAGCAGCAAAGACCACTGTAGCAATGCTGCTGCTGTTGGGGAGCAGCAGCAGCAGCAGCAGCAGCAAGAGTATAACGTTGTGGCGTATATATAAGAGACGGAGGTAACAGTAGGGGATATAGTAAGTTAGCAGCAGCAGCAGGATAAGCAACACAGGAGCAGCAGCAGCAGCTGCAGCAGCAGCTGCAGCAGCAGCAGCAGCTGCTGCTGCTGCAGTAGCAGCAATAGAGGCGTCTGAAGGAGAAGAAGAGAGAGAGAGGAGAGAGGAGAGGAGGGAGAGGAGGGAGAGATAATGTTTGCTGCTAATTAGCCCCTCTTGTTGCTGTATAAGGAAGAAGTATATTAATTAATAAATAAATAAAAAATAAAAAAAAAAAAAAAAAAAAAAAAA